TCCTGCTGGGAAAGCATCAAAGGAGCCAGTGGCTAAGAGAGCTCTCAAGAACAGATACTCACAGGTAAAGGGAAAAAACACTTTAAGGTGTAATTGAAACACGCTTCAGCTCAGGTAAATGCTAATAACTTCTACAAATAAAATAAATGCTGACTCTTGTCTTGAAGAATACTTTTTACAGTTGCTGTCTGCTCTGCTTTGTTTTACACTGCAATGCGAAATGAATGCATAGGTTTAATTCTGTACCCAGAAATCAGGTTAATCCTTCTTTTGCAGCCAATTCTGAAACTCCCAGACACAGAGCTTGCGGCTTTTCCACTCAATGTAATGTCAAAAAATGCAATTTGGGATGACTATGTAAACAAATTTATTTATGTAGTAACATGTCCAGAACAGTTCTACTGCACTTAGCAATTATTTTCAATCCATATCACTGAGAAGCTGAAAGAGAATGCATTAATGGAGTGTCTTCATACACAGACACACACATACAGCACAGGGAATTACGCATACACATAACCTATCAATGTTATTACTCTCATCAGCTCTCTATCTCCTGTTTAAATGTTCAGATTCAATTTCCAGTTCATAATCACCTTTTGATTCCTTCTGAAAGCAGAATGAATCTTTGCTTAAACACATCTGGAAATCAAGCTTAGACACTATAAATAAAACGGCATTAACACTCATATTTTCCTTATTCAGTTCGCAGGCAGCTTGCTTTTCTCTACCTGGTCATAGTCTACTTTGTGGTTGTTCAAAGTTTGTTTCAAGTAATTGCTGTGCTATGCGCATGAAGAAGTGCCAAAAACTATGGTTGACAAAGGAATAAAAGTTAAATCTGACTACAAACAGCAAGAAGGGAAGAAATAGTCTTCTGATGACAACGTTGTACGAGATCATGAAATTGAAGGGGATACTTTTACTACTTTCCACAGTGAACACTAATATCCTCTAGGAAGCTTTAGCAGTAGTTCTACTAGTAGTGATAATTATTTTGGTCTTCTTGCTTATGCCATTCATAGAAATTTGTATTGTTTGGAAGAAAAATCTCTTTAGTAGTTGAATATTCAATAATGTTAAATTACTTCTTTTGAAGTGTTTTATCAAAACTGTCTCTTTTATAAAGCAGGAATTCAAATTTAATGTCTGTATTTGACCTCAGACTGCTTAGTGACAAAGGTCCAGAAAATGTCAAGCTTGTCTGAAGTCATGGGATATATTTCTCAGCTCTAATAGAAACATCCAATAAAAATGCTAAGAAATTACCTGTGTTGACAAAGAGGTTTCCTTATGAGATGGTCCTTGGCTATACAACAAAAACTCCATATTATTGATTTCCATTCCAGGTGGAAAGTGTTATTTCTTCATTCAGCTTTCAATAACACACATTACAGAGAAAATATAAAATACTTATATTGATTTAGGAGTTGCACCATTTTCCACTTGGAGAACAAAGAACAGGAGAAGGGGAAAGGAGATTTTCTCTGACAAACAATAATTATCATGTGGATTGCTTGGAAAAATGGCATAAAAATCTGGATTGCTAGAAAAGAGGTAACTGTTTATCTAAACATCAGATGCACACACGCACAAAAAAAAAATGCTGCAGCTATCCCTGACAATCCTTTCCATTTTCTCCTCTGAAATACTTAAAATTATAGGTAAAATACTTCTTGGTGACTGATCAGACATAAAGTGGAATGTAATTTGAGGAAAATAGTACAATTTATTCCAGTGGGAATTGGGTTTCTTCTCTTACATCTCTCCTATTTTCAAATAGCAATGGACTTCAGATGGCCAACCAGAGTAGCCTTGAGACACCCAAAGGCCTTCGGCAGTCATGAAAACTTCAGTCTAATCAATAGAATTACATTACTAATCTGGCTTTTGCAAAGGTGAGCTAACAAAGTTAACAGAACTGATATATATATATATATATATAAGAGCAGCACACATTGTTATTTCAGAGTTTTAAGTGTAGGAGATACTTTGTGATAATAGCTGAAGAGAATGCTGCATACCTGGGATATGTCAAAATGACAGAAAATAAAAATGTGCTGAAATCTGAAAGGTAGAAGATTTCTGTCTGATTAATAGCAGAGCTGAGGTACTAATAAATCACATGTAAGCATCCTGGCCTTCCTTCAGCTGTAGCTGTGGCTAGAGAAGCTGACATCAGCATGGCTGGGCAGCATGTCACTTTGGAGAAAAATCCAATCCCTTGAAAAAGCTCCCCTTGACTCCACTACCCACTGCTTCAGCTGCCCCAGTACAACAAAGGATGGCAGAACTGACATCCAAGGAGAAGCAGATTAATTATCTCTCTTCAAAGACACCTCACTTCCTTGCAGACCCTGTTCTTTCCCATGATAGCTTTGTTATGAGCAGCACTGTAGATGGTCCTCCCAAGCAATCATGCCATACTTACTTCTACTGACATTTTTCTTTTTCCAATGAGCTACCATAAATCCTTTCACTTGTGTGTCTGCTGTAAACTATCCTGAACCTGCATATAATGAACTTTGAAGTGTACATATATATATATATACACACACACAGAGTGGATTGTTGGTGACACATTTAATACATCCTTAATTCATTCCTAGCTCATGATTCCTGGCTTTTGGTACTAAGGTTTCTTATGCAGATGTCATGCCTGCTCCTTGAAAAATGCTGGCTTTAACAAGCCAGCTACATTCTGTCTATCATCTGTCCTGTATCCTCTAGCACTGACTCAGCCTTTGGATGCACATTATTGCTTTTTCTACTGGAAAACACCATAGTACATCACCGCTGATTAGAACTTCCTAATAGGATAGTTAGCATTTAGAGGTTTCAGAACAAAATATTTTGAAATCTGAGTTCTGCTTCCAGACAACATGGCATCCATACATCCATATAACCAATGTAAGAAAACAAGCCTGAAACTGAGTGTATAAAGTTTTTCGCCAATACTGGTCATAGGGAAGGAATCAGAGTTCATAATGCAGGACCCTAGGAAAAGAAGTAGGCCCCAACAAAGCTTATCTTGCAGCTCTGAGGCCAGAGCTATTACAGGGGAGATTCCAGTGAGCTGGAGTCAGAGAGCTGTCAGCTGAGATCCCCACACAAAAGGCAGAGAAAACTCTTCATTTCCCTTCAGTTGTAAGGGCATAGAGGTTCTAAATTTAATTTGTTATGCAGTTTGTTGGTACAACTGAAGAAGTTCTGTGAACCCAAGTCTGAGATGTGGGTGATGGGAATAAGTTTTTCAAAACCAGAAAGCAGCACATTGCCCCAGGACAAACTGTGAGATCACAACAGTAATGACTTAACCTCTTGGGGACAATCCAGTTAACAGCATCTGGTTGACATCTACCCAGACTGTGTATAGACTTGACTGCTGGTGTGAGAGCTGGTAGCTCACACTCTGATGGGTACGGACAGATTTTCCTAATGTAGAAATCAGAGGGCATAGTGCATACTCACATTTTAACCCGTTTTGGAGCTCCTCTTCTGTTCTCTCAAGAGAAGAGGAAGCACCTTTCCCCCCATGATTGTAATGATTTTGACATGGAAATGTCTCCTGTCAGAGCTGTTCTGCTTGATGTAAATAATTAAATATACAGTGGCGAATAGAAGCGAACCTGGGTCTCCTCGCTTTACTTAGTACCTGCTCCTTCTCTCTCCAAACAGAAATTCCATCCTGAAGCTGAAAAGTCTTTCCCAACAAAAGCTTCTTTGAAATTGGTATACATTAATTGAAAAGTTTGAGGCTTAAGGATTTTGTATTTTTTTTCATTAAAAAGAAAAAAGAAAGAAAATTCTATTTGGAAAAATTCCCAAGCAGTTCTGTGTATGGACTCCCTGCCCTTTGACCCTTTGCTGCATTGGTTTTCCAAAACCCAAGCTGCTAATTTCTAGAAGCTGGTGTACGTGTCCCCCAGCAGGAGGTAGCCACAGGAACCAGTGGGTGATATTTCTGAACGCCCTTCCTCACCATGTCATTCAGTACAGGGCTGAGAGCGCCCTGTCTCTTTCTCTATTATTCCATAGAGCCCTGAATGAGTTTACTCCCAGACTTGTAATTGGAGATGCAAACTAATGAAAAAAAAAAATCATTATCCTGGATGGAAAGTCTGACAGAAAATACTGTCCTGAAGGTTTTGCTGGTATGTATAAGTGTGCTCTCTATCTGTCTCAGCCAAACAGGGATATTGTGTGATAACCAATCCTAGGTTCTCAGCTGCTATACACTGGCATCACTCCATGAATTTTAATATCCCTCTATCAGTTTACATAGCTAATCATCCCTACCAAATGTTTAACAAATGCCTAGAAGCACTGCCCACTCTCCCTCCCGTCCCCCCCCCCCCTCAAGTACATCATTCTCTTGTTTTTCTCTTTCTAACAAAATCTCACATTTTTTCCTCCAGTTGGTCTCTGCATTTACTTCGTTTCCTTGCTAGGTTACACAGTGATGTTTTATTGTTCTAGTTCTTCACCATTCATGCTCAGTTTATGTCTTTTACTTCTATTTCTATCTGAATCACTGTTTGTTTTTTCTTCACTGCTTTTCTAATATTAATTTTAATGGGGTCTTTTAGTATTTCTTTCTTGCAGACTATCTCTGGTTTGTTTCAATGTCATCCTCATGCTTGTAAGCTTCCTTTTCTGGCCGTTTCTTTCCTATCTACTAGTATGACAGATAAGTGAAGCATATTTTCCTTTCAAGATCAGAATATTGCAATAAGCCTGATTAGAAGCTTTTCACAGAAAGGACAAAATCCATTCATCAGCGCACAAATTATGAATTAGTTTTATACATAACGCTTCTTCTTTAACATATATCTGTACACCTCTGTCAACCTATTCCTTCAAGTATCTCTGATGATTAAACTGAA